AAATAAACCAATAAAAATGGGGCTGGGGATTTAGCTCAGTGGCATAAGCACCTACCTTGCAAGCAGGCAGTTGTGAGTTCGATCCCTAGTACCAATAAAAAACAAACAAACAAAAATAAACCAAAAAATTAAAATATAAATGAAGTGAGGTGAAATGTGGGCTCCTATCAGGATCTGGGGCCTTTCCGTGTAATATTTATCCCAGATTCTTCAAATTCACATGTCCATCCTAACCACAGTCTTAGGCTAGTTGTTGCTGTTTGCATACAACATATTCTCAATTGTGCAGAACTCAAATTATAGTGGGTCAAAATGACTCTGCTGTGTTCATCTTGCCAAGATCCCTGTGAAGCTCAGGGAATCCGGTAAAGGTCTGGATGGAAATTATAGCCACTGAGGGGCATCAGAGTGAGCCCAATCACAACCCTCAGGTCTGTAGGGATTAGGACCCACAGATGCTGTGCCTTACAGCCCAGGGTCCATTCAGAGGGAGCCAAGGAGCACTCATGTTGTCCAGGAGCCAGCTCTTCCAGGTACCAGCACAGGAGCAGATACATCGAAACCTGGGGAACTTTACCTGCCTAGACCCCGGTCCTCCTTATACTTCATTCCCCTGTGACCCACTCCCCTTATGGAAGTGGGGTAATAATCATGGGCCCTGTGTGTCTTTCATTACATCATCTTCATGCATGTTAGGCTAATAATATTTTATACCCATAAATCTGATAATCATTGAAAATTTATTGAAATGATTTGTATACTAAAATGTCACTAATTAAAAGTTGAAAGTGTTCTTATTTCTGAATGTATGCTATGAAAACTGCACCCATTCAAACAAGTTCCTTTTAAATCATATTTCTAAATTCCAAAAGTACACAACATATTTTTTGCTGTCCCTTTCCATTCTTTCACAGCCCACTCCCTTAACCCCCCAAATGTGGACAAACCTATTTCGGTCCTTATGGATTTACCAATTCTGGTGCATTTTTTAAAAGTTCATAAAATAGGGAAGGCTTTATCTAAATTTAATGCTTAGCAAAATTTCAGTTGTTTGCATTTTATGCCACTTTCTGTGGTTAAATACAAATTATAAGAAATAAATATACCACTGTGGATGTAGAAATATTAAGAGTCCTTAAAATGGTCCTGAAAGAGAGATATTTCCTAGCTTATCTAATAATTTAGTGCTTTTCAAAATTAGCACAAGGAATTTCTCATATGACTCTACAGTTGGGTAACTATCCAAGGGTATTGAAACTGCACATATATACAAAATTTTGCAAGAAAGTTTCCTGTAAAAATTCTTCATGGTAATCAAAAGTTAGAAACTATCCAAAAGTCTAAAATGCAGAGAGGGCAATAAAAAATTTATGTTCACAAATGGAATATTGCTCATCCATAAAAAATCAAATGTGTGTTTTTGTGACTGCATGAACATTCTTTCAAAAACATACACATGAGTGCAAATAATCCCTCCTATCTGACTATAGAGATGTGCAATATCCACATTATTCATACCATTATATCCAGAAAGTAGAGTGAAAATTTCCAAGGACTACGAGAATATGAATAACCTGAGGAAAAATCAGAAGAATCATATTTTTTAAAGTGGAGAACATACAGATTAAGTACTCTTAGGACAGAGTCACAAATAATTTAATACCGAAAATTCCATTCAACTGTGTTCTTAAAATTGAATTTTGCTCTTGTAGGTAAAATTCCTGCACAGTGCCATGGCAAAAGATGAAACAAAAGTTCTAACATGTAATACATTTCTAAAGCAATCAGTTGAGAAACCAAATTTAAAGTTCAAACTTACTGCAATGTTTTAGTGATACACTAATGTGGAAACCATGCGTAGACAGGTAAAAATAATATAACAGAGAAGAAGGGTTCCAGAAGTGTTCTGCACAAATGGCACAATAGAGCTCATCTCCAATGGCACAGAGATGGCAACCAGAGCAGAATGGGGGAAATCAACTCAAGGAAACTTAGTAACTTAGAAACTTAGTAACTTGGTTGTTTCCTACAGTAGCCAAGGTATAAATGACACAAGTTTACTAGAGGGAACACTAAGGTCACATAAAGGGAATTTCTGATAAGATCAGTGTAGATGGAGAGAAACCAGAGGTTGCTCAACAGGAAAATAGAGAAATGATCCAAAGTGGATTTAGAAGCTGACATTCCCAATACAGGAGAAGAGCAAAGACCTGAAAGCTTGATAGTGTTAAACACAGAAGACATGATTTCAAGTCTCATTTCTCAGGGTTTCCTCAAGTGTCAGTCACAGATATTTTGGAGCCACCGACCTCAGTCTCACCCATGAAGTACCTGTGTGACCAGTAACAGTGGGTGCAAAGAGTGAAGACAACTTTAGGCATAATGAGCCCACACAGACACCTCCCTACAGGCATTCACATGACCAGCAGGGGGAGCTCAGGACAGAAGGAGCCCAAGGGGGACATATGAGAGCAGCTAGAATAACTTAAGGGTTTTCTTTCCACTAGATTGTCCTCTCTGCCAGGACACCATAGCCTAAAGCAGCTCTCATCTTTAATCCTACACTGTTATGTGTTCATGGAGGAAGGCTTTTTGTTTTTTAGCATCCAGATCGTGACAAGATGCACTTCATGTTTTTCACTGAATTCTTATTTAAACCCAGGTGACTACATAGCCTAACTCAATGTTAGGTCTAGAAATACCTGATGATTACTCATACCCTGCTAAGTACATATCGCCATCCACCATCAGACATGTCTTGACACCATCCAGTCCTGGTTCATGTATAGTTCTTTGATCCTAATGTGTATGAAACATTTTCTGTGTGGATGTGTCTGCCCACACATTGCTGTAGGTCCCTTCCCTTCCCCTGCAAACCTGACAGAGGACATAGAACCCTGCTACTGAAGCTATTCACTTGCTGACTCAGGGGCCTCTTCCCTGTCATCCCCAAACTCTCTCAGCTTCCTGCCTTGCTCCCCACCCCTGCCCCTAAGCCTGCTGTTCACCAGGGAGACAGTAGGGCCTTGTCCAGCTGTTCCTGGCCACACTGTCCTGTGGTCATGATCAATACTGGAGAGAAACCATGCAGAAATTTCCTCCAAAAGCACATGCATGAATGAGGACTGCTGTCTTTTTAAGCTTGTTCAAAGTGTAAGAAGGCTTAGATCAGTCATGTATTTTCAAGTAATTGTTTTTAAAATAATAAGACATAGTGTTTCAAGACCCATGAAGAAGGCCTGTCTGAATTTGTGCCCTCACAACCTGCAGATGCTGCCTGTGAAACTGCAGATGTTGTTTTGGCCTGGTGTAAGGATCAGCCCCATGTAGAGAGGACCTTGGAGCCAGGGTTGTGGATCAAAGGGGGCAGTGGGTGAAAGGCTTCTCTTGATAGTACTTTGAGGTTCACACTAGCACTCTGATATCTGGTTATTGTTGTAGACCATGGCTACACTAATGCTGGTGACATACTACTGGATGTGTTGTGTACAGCAACAGCTGCAACCACATCTTCTCTGTCCCATTAGAAAAGCAGACCTGGCCATGTGTGTTTCCTGGTGAGGATCCTACTCAATGCCTGTCTGGGGAGAGCTGCAGGACTCAGGCCCTGAGCAGAACATGTATGTATTAATAATTTCTAAAGTTTCCATATCCCCTATGATTCATTGTGAAGGTCTTACCTCAGATAACATATTATTACTTGTTAATGTTTGATCTATAATTTCTTAGATTTATTACCAGTAATGAAAGGGCTCAAAAACACTGAATAAATTGATGTAGTCACAGATTTTTCCCATGCAGATCTGAAGAATGCAGGGTGTGTTACTGCACGGATACAGCCCTGCCCAAAGGGCCTGGATTAGCCTCCTGTCTACACCTTTTATTCTGCAAGGAGACAACCATTAAAATATTTCCTGAGCTGTAGAGATCTGCCAGAAACACACACACGATCATATGTATGTGATAGAGGAGGATGTGACCTGTGGTTGTGACTATTGGAGAGGAGACTGGGTAACCCATTCCTACAAGATCATTTTCTCTGGCCAACATGCTCCTATGTACTACAACAAGCATTCTATTTTAGGTGTATCCATAAAATGGAGACATAAGTTAATGTGGTGTCACAACCCTGTAATTCTGACCCTTAATATGATGAGGCAGGAAGATCACCATGCATTTGAGGCCACCCTTTGCCACCAAGCTAGTTAAAGGTGTCCTAGATGATAAAGTGACACTGTCTTTTAGAAAATCAACAAAAAGAAAAGTGGATACAATATGTTTACTAAGTGCCCAGATTTAATTTTAGAGACATTGTTATTGGGTACATTTGGTTTATAGTATATGATTTTTCAAAACAGAAAATTAACATGAGTTAAATATTTGTAGTGTAGAAATACAACCGAAAGAACAAGAGGAGAAGCTGAATCCAAACAGGGAGTGATCACCTCATTGTTCCACAAGGTTGCTTGAGGAGAGGAAACCTAACACAGAGGGCCTCCTTCTATTCAAAGAGGTTTAGAAACTTCTAAGTGAGGTAAGCATAGAACTCAGAGCCAGATTTCCAGTTCCTGCTGGCTCTTCTCAGGTGGGACTTGGATCACCGGATGCCTTAGATCAGGATGCAGGTGGACCTCTTCTGACAACATTAATGACAGTGGAGGAAGGTCTCAGGAAGTCTGGATGGAAACATAAGAGAGAGACCAGAGAGACACAGAGGGAGATGTGCTCAATTTGGTCCTGAGAATCAGTGTCAGTGACTGGATGGGAACAGAGTCAGATTGGGGTACAGGAGGAATCCATTCCTGGGATCAGGATGATAGTGTCATCATTGCCCTGCTTTGACCACTCCTCTAACTTAATCTTCCCACTTATCCCAGATGCAAACCCAGCTGGAATTCAGAATAGCAGGTTACTCTCAGTGGCACAAAAAGAGCAGACATAGTCTGAGCTCAATGATTACTACATATACAAAGTGTGTACCCTATATGCAAATATCTGCTCCAACTTTAGATTCATAATCTGCTCACAGCTTATGAGAACTTACAGCTTCATCCCTAGACAGGGCTGTGGTCTCTCAAGAAGGCAGCAGTGTGGTCTAAAAGATGAGACTGCTGGGTCTGATCCTGTGCCTGGTGACAGCTCTCCATGGTGAGTATCCTTACCATCAGACATGGGTAAAGGGAAAGTTTACCAAAGCATGTGACTGACGGGATGATTTTAATTTTTTCCAGGTGTCCTGTCCCAGGTGCAGCTGCAGGAGTCAGGGTCTGGCCTGGTGGGGCCCTCTCAGACCCTGTCCCTCACCTGCTCAGTTTCTGGATTCTCCATCACAACCAATGGTTATGCTTGGGGCTGGATCCGTCAGCCTCCAGGAAAGAGCCTGGAGTGGATGGGGCACATATGGTACGATGCTGACACTTACTACAACCCATCCATTAAGAACCGCATCTCCATCTCCAGAGACACAGGAAAGAACCAGTTCTCCCTGCAGCTGAGCTCTATCACTACAGAAGACACAGCCACCTATTACTGCGCAAGATACACAGTGCTTTAGTACAATTGTGAGCCCAGACATAAACCTCTCTGCAGGGAAACTCACATCCGGCAGGGGGCGAGCTGCACACATTGCTCTAGGGAACCAACTTCTCAACCCTGTGGTGACATCCTGGAGGGTTTTTCAGTAGTAAAGTTACAGAGATTTTAGAGACCTTCTATCTTACTGATCATAGAATATTATGTTTTCATCGAATCAAGCTTTTTTTGTTTCTCTGTCAATTTCATTACTGATTGCACAATGCAATTTCAATGAATCCCTTATTCACAACCATAGTGTTTATACTGTCTCAATAGTATTTAGGTGTAGAAATATTTAACCATGAAAATTATTTCTCTGCTGAAAACAGGTCTACCCTCCACCTGTAGAGCCTTTCATCCTGTAGGGCACTTTCCATTTCTGTTCACAGAGACTTTTATTATGAATGGCTGGACACCACTGTATGTGTGTGTTGATATGAGTGTTCACCTGTTACTAGAGCTCTTCATTTCCCCACCCTGTGGATGTAGGGTGATGCCTTGGAGATCCGTGGTGTATTTGCTGAGGGGGGGTCTCTCTAGGCATCTCATTGGTAGAGACCATCGTGCTGTCACACATCCTGCAGTCATAGGGCACTGCCTGAATTATATTTATTAGAACCTAGAGTCAGTAGTAGTGCATCTCAGAAACTCTCATAGAAAGTCTTCAATATCATGTCTGTTTGTAATGCTACATGAATTTTCTGTATTTACCTTATCCTCAATAAAATTTAAATGTCTTGTCAAGCTGACATCAGCATATTTGGATACAGTGTTGACCACTTCTTCCTCATCTGCCAGTTGACCTGGGAACCTGATCATGGATCCATTGAAGAACAAGGTAGCCACAGGAGAATCAAGACCAAGTGAGAAGGCCAGGCCCTGCCCACTAAGGAACCTCAACTCCATTTCTCTCTGTGCTCTCCTGAGTCCCTGAGGACAACACTGGTCCAGGCCTAGACTCTGACTCCTTCTCAAATAAAATGATTAGGAGAGAGCTTCGGGATCTTTGGCATTTGGGGATATTGGAAAATGCTTTTGAGTGGATTCTCTAAGACGCAAATCACAGTTGCTGTATCTCTACCAATTCAGGTATATAACAGTCATTTATTCATAGTTCCAAAATTATGAACAAAATTGAGTATCACAGAGGGAATCTTGGCAAGCATTTTGATATAATCATCTATTCATCTTTCTATCACCTATTTAACTATTTGCCTATATTTCCATCGATCATCATTGTATCTATTCCATACTCTGTCATATTTCTATTGACTCATCAACTTTCTACACATTCACCTTTCATTTATGTATCTACTGTAAATGTTTATTCATATAATTGTTACTCATTTTTTAATTTTGTGTTATTTTCTATCCTTTGTGTCTGTACCATCCAAAATTTATCTATTTTGTATCACTGTGTTCATCAACATCTTAAATATTTCATTAATTGTCATCTATGCATCATTGATGCATGTATCATCTGCTTATCTTAACTGCTTTATTAGCATAAGTGAGACACAAAACTGTTGCTTTATAGTCTGTAGGACTGATATTATTGAGAAGTTGCCTAAGAGGCTGAGATAATGATGTAATCCACAAGACCAGTTTCTCATGATTTACATCCTCTTGGCAATATCTTGACGGCACTATGATGGAGGAGACTACATTTTCTTAAAAGTTGTGCTTGCTTGCCTTAAATGTAGCAGCCCCTGCTCTGAGTGTTAGTTATAACAGAATCAAATTTGATGCTTACTCTGAAATCAGCAATCCTGCAACACAGTACAATGTGTGTATTGAAAAGTAGAAAAAGCAAAAATGTGTTTTAAATTTGGACCATGCCTACAAAGTAGAAAGCCTCCATACACTGAAACTCTCTTTCTCTCTCTCACTCTCTCTCTCTGTCTCTTTCTCTCTCTCTCTGTCTCTCTCTCTGTCTCTGTCTCTGTCTCTCTAATACACACACACAGGTTTCCATACGCATATCAATTTCAGTTAAGAAAAGTATATTTAAATTTTGAAAGCCCATATTTTCACAGAGATTATTTATCATTACCAGAGCTATCAATTTCTTTACTGTGTTCCATTACTTGTGTAATTATCAATCACTCATCTATATATGACATTGCATGAAATAGGAAATGACATCATCAAACTAAATGATACCCCCCTCCTGTTATCAGTTTTTTGTTATTTGGAATACACTTGGGAATACACTGACATGAAGGAAATGACCCCTGCTCCTTACCCTTTCACATTCATGGTTATTGAAGGCAGAGCCGAGGTGATGTCCTCACAACAAAATCCCTGCCTTTTTGAAGTCACCCTGGAACTCACCATCCAGCTCATCATGAGAAGCTAAGCAATTCTCATCCTTCGTCTTCCTCTGCTCCTCACCTGAGACTAGGATAATCACTGAGCTACCCTGTATGGAAAGACTAAAAGTTCCTTCCTCCAGTGTGAAGACCCAGGTGGTTTTGCAATGTCCAGTCAGGGTGAGCCCACCTCCCTGAACACACCCACGTAAGATGGAGCTAGATCTTCTCCGTGGCTCTTTTAAATTCCTGCTTGCCAGAAGATCCTTCAAAGCTCTTAGAATGTCTTGTATGCATCCTGTTGTGTCTTTTTCAGTGTTTTTTCAGCTTTAGGAATGAATAACAAGATGTATTTTTAACTTTGCTGGATCAGACCCTTGATTCTTGCTAGCAACAGTTTAAATCTGACCTCTGAAGTCATGTAAGTTTGCTTCTTCAACCCCATAAGAAGGCAAATGTCGGTGTCGATCCCGGCCGGCAGGAAAAAACACACGACACGAGTAGTCGGCGGATAGCCTCTGATTTATTTTCTCTCTCCGTACGCCCTGTTCCGGGATCTCGGATCCCGCCTGAGGGAAGCCTCCTCTGGTCCGTTCCCTACGGCTCCTTGTATGCTTCTCTCAGCAGTCCCTCTTCTTGGTGTGTGTTCTCGCCCCAGGGGTGGTGTCAGCATATATATGGACACATCGACCAATCACATCAAAGTAGGCAAGACGAGCTGATTGGCCAGCGTCAGCTGTTGCTGGGCAGACTAGCTTACAGGGCGTGTTGTTTACTAGCTAGGGAGCAGGAAATGGGCGCCATCTTGGCATACTCGATGGGAGGGGTAATCTAGCTCAGGCTTCACTCCTCACCACAGGCCTCATATCACTCGGTCGACGGGAGGGGCAATCTAGCTCAGGCTTCACTCCTCACCACAGGCCTCATATCACTCGGTCGAGCTCCCAACATCTCCCCCTTCTTTATTTATTAAGATAGTGTGGTCTGTGGGTCCATGTGAGGTGTCTGGGAGTGGGCCTATTTCGCAGGCCGAGGCATGAGAGAATGTAGAGGTCTATACCCTGCTGTGCATCACCTTGTCTCGTACATATCCTTGCGCCAGGACCATGCTCAAGGTGAGTGGTTCATTTTTTCGCAGGGCCAGGCTTTTGTGAACCGAACCTGGATGCATATAGACATTTATTCCTGCCTTCCCCTCAACCCTCGAGGCGGATGGCACTGCAGTACCCTTGGTCTCGCATCTCAATGCCATAACTCTCACTCCCTAGAGGACCCTCGGAGTAGAGCCTGTCTTAGGTTGATCAGGAGAACTTTTCCCGTCTTACCCGTCGTTGGCTTGCCCACTCAACTCTTAAAGCTTATATCTTGGGGGAGACACGGAGGGGTCAGCCGAGTGACATTTGAGGAACCGCGTAATCACTAATTACCAACCATAATCCCCGTTCACTACAATCACTAATTACTATTTTCTAATTATCAATGGGAACACGCCTTAAGCGTGGGGTCCTTCTAGTCTAAGTTCGCAGCCGCGACGGGGAAGGAGACGTACGTAATAATACTAGAACATCCGTAAGAATAATGGCGAGGGCAGCCACGTACTGGTTAAAGGAGCCGTGCCTTTCTAGCCTGAGCCCAGAAAACGCTAGGTGTGGAATCCCCTTGACTCTGGGCCAGCAACATCATCAATGTCATATGTGTCTTTTGGGTCGCCCTTATCGACCGCAGGCACCTAAGAGTCACGAGAGTGACAATCACAAGAGCAAGAATGATCCCATACGCAAGAAGTGACGAAGGTTTGAAGAAGGAGCCTATCTGGCTTAGGACATCATCAAAAAAGGAGGCTGTAAGTATAGGCACCTCTATCTGATCTAGCTGCCGGATAGTCATATCCAGGCGCACGCTAGCGTTCCAAAAGGAAGAATTATAGGTGGTGAGAACATAATCCTGAAATTGCCTGTAAGCCGAACGGTTGACCTGGATGGGGGTAACGCACAACTGGGTGAATGCCCATCTGGCGTCACATAAATTGTTAGCCACCTCCCAGAGTCCCTGGACTTCCTGAGCGATTAGGTCGATCTGCTGCTGTAACGCCATTATGGCGTTGTGCTGGAGGAGGTTGACTTCTTGTTGCTCCCTCAGCGCCAGGGAGGTGGTGTCCGTAAGATTGGTAAAGGCCTGAGCCGTCAGCGTAGACTGGGTCAGAGCAACGGCAGCCGTCACAGCCGTCGCAGTCAGAGTCACGAACAGTGCTGTCAGGGCCGCTGTGATCCCAAAATCTCTCTTACATCTGAGCATGGGTAGTTGGTCCTGCTGATAGACGGGATGAACCCAAACAGATTCGTTAAAGGGAACCCACATCAGTGGGGGTCGAAGAGCCAACATAGCATACGGGAAAGACCCATTCCAGCAGTTCCCTGTAAAGCATGGTTGGTTACTGCACTTAAAGGAGATGTCAGCAGAGAATACCCATAAGTAGGGCGGTTTTACGCATGCAGCCTCAGAATTAAGGGTGACATTGGTGGTTCCATTAGAGGCAGAAGCGTTAATAGCGAGCATGGGTCTTAAGTCCATGCAGGCTCCGGTGGAGAGGCACAACCAATTTTCATTAAGGGGGAAGGGGAAGCTTATTGCCCACTTGTTGTTCACTCTCAGGTAGGACTCCCACCAGGTCAACGCGAATATG